CGAATAATCGTCGGAAGAAAAGTGGTGGCATTAGCGCTCGACGAGACTCTTCCGCTCAAAAGGAGTCCACCGCTGCCGCAAGCGTGGCCACTACTGTTTCGGGATCATGTGGTACTGAAAGCCGCATTGTAGTAAATGGGATTGCGAAGGAGAAGGAGGATGACAAGCCGCTAATGAATGGATCTGTCAATCATACCTCAAATATGCAAAACGGGAACCTGGTGTGTTTTTTGATTTACTTATTTTATACTTGTTCTATCTTATTGGTCGCGTATACAATTGCTACTGATAGTATAAGTCTACCTGTTACATTTTTCTTTGGACTTTAGTTGCATGTCAGTTTTCTCAGAATTTGTAGGAAAGCTTTAGTCTGACAACAATCTATGTTTTGGATTCGATTGTTGTGCAGCTTCACTTACAAAAATATTGTGTTTCCCAACATTAGTGTACTTGTCTGGGCTTAATTGTCATTTTTACTAAACTGAACCGATTACTTACACTTAGACGTTATTTTTAGGCTGCTAGCTCACAAACTGAAAGCAGTGACATTGAGTCGCTTTCGTCAGAGTCCTCCAGGCGAAATACTATGTCCTCGTCCGGGGGAGACCGCAACGGTACCGTAGTTCGCTGTAAAAGTAATGAAGATGAGCAGCGACCAGCTCGGGACACATCACAGTCGTACTCCGTCACTTCGCAGATCGACTATGCTAGGTGCGCTTTCCTTTCTCTTATACTCTTTTGTTCTCGCAATGGAAACGTAGGTATTTCAGCGATGAGGGAGCTGTGCGAACACCGGAAGACACATATCCGTGTTGTTCATCTTCTGAGGCAGTGGGTGGTGGGGTTTCTGAAGGATATATCTCAGTGAGTGGTGCAGCATCGCAAACCGAATCCTCCAGTGGAAACGGCGATGGACTTCTCAACGTCCTTTCTGTAAGATTCCCATCTCCCGTTTGGACCCCTCTATATTCGATTTTTCATTGTAGATGTCGTCATGGGATC